TCCTTCATTTCAAAGTTCTTAGAAAGATATTCCTTAACATCACGCAACATCCCTTTTATTATTAGCAGCAAGAAGAATGTCGTCAACATGTAATACTAGGATTACAAACTTGCTTCCATTAAACCTTTATGTGGATACACTGATCAACAGTGATCTCTACAAAACCAAATGACAATTTCAAGTACCATTGTCTAGAAGCATGTTTTAATCCATAGATCGACATCTTCAATCTACATACCAGATTTTCATTTCCTGTGGCCATGAAGCCTTGCAGCTAATCCATGTATACTTCCTCTTTTAATTTACCATTCAAAAAGGAAATTTTAACAACCATTTGGTGAAGCTTAAGAACAGAATGAGCCACCAAAACCAAAATAATTCTCAAGGAGAATTATTATCCTGTATGGCTTGGTTAAATGAGACTGGATAATTATCAATGCTCAAGTCACTTGCATGCTCAAGTGCATAAACAATATAGTCATCAGGAATGGATGATCTTTTCTATCTAGTAGATCTCCTTAATGCCACTTCCCGCTGAGATTTCACTTGATCATCATCTTGAGTTTCAACCTCATCTTCATTTACAATAGCTTCCTCATGTGTAATTTGAGCATCTAGTTGATGTTGTTCCAAAGTATTTCCATAAGGCTACACTGCACTGCAGCAATAGGAACAACAACAGGAAAAAGGATCACTTGATGAATCTGGAACCATCAATGACTCCTTAATCTCAACATTACGAGCTCCCACACTCCCACTGACTTCGCCATTTTAAATGAAGCGAGCATCACCAGACTCAACAATCCTCGTACTTATGATTAGGACAATAAACATGTACCCTTTAAACCTTTCTGGATATCCAATGAAATAAGCACTAATGGTTCTGGATTCCAATTTATTTTCATGTGGATTATATATCATCACTCCAGCTTGACAACCCTAAATGTGAAGATGCCTCAAACTAGGTTTCCTTCTTGTCCACAGTTCATAAGGTGTTTTTTTTTTTTTTTTTTTTTTTTTTTTTTTTAAAAATAACCTTACTAGGAACCCTATTGAGTAAGTATGTTGTTGTCTTTAATGCATATATCCACAATGAAATAAGCAATGTACAGTTATTGACCTTACTCCTAACCATATCCTTAAAGTACGATTTCACCTTGCTTTCACACCATTTTGATGTGGTGTGCCTAGCATTGTGTATTATGCACAAAATGCCCTTAGATTCGATGAATTTCTTTAAATGGGTCAGGAATTTTCCCAACTTTTGAGGGTTTCCCATAATACTCATCACTTTTATATGATCTAATTGTCTTTACCTTTCTATTTAACTGATTCTCAACTTCAAATATGAATGTCTCTAGGACATCCACAGACTGAGATCTTTCACGCAGTAAATAGATGTAACAGTACCCAGAATGATCATTAATAAAGGTAATAAAGTATTTATCACCGCCCTAAGACGGAACATCAAAAAAGACCACAAATATCTGTATGTATTAAATCAAGTAATCATGAGCTTCTTGTGACTGAGTGTACTGATACATGTCTGACTTGCTTTACCTTTATGCAATCGACACATGCACCATTCTAGTCAGTAAAATCCAATTGAGACAAAATTCCAACTTTAATAAGTCTCAATATCCTTTCTTTGGATATATGACTAAGCCTTTTATGCCACAAGTCAGCTGAAGATTCTTTTGGCGCGCTCCTTTTAACACAACCATCACATTAAACAAGGAATTAACAAAGTCATCATTAAGATTGAAACAGTATAGTGTATCCAACAAAACACCAGAACCATAAAGGTTTTTGTTGATACAAACATTTGTTTCCAATCTTAAAGTAAAAACTCAATGTTTCCAGCCTAGCTGTTGAAACAAGATTTCTAGAACAATTTGGAACATACAGACAATTCTCAAGATCAAGGCAAAAAACCTGTATCCAGCTTAATTCTGTAAGTTCCAATACCTTCAATTCTAGCTTTCATCATGTTTCCCATGAAAAGACACTTTTCATTTTCCCTGTGAGGTTAAAACATCAAAAATCCTGCTTTATGTTATAAACATGTGTTGTAGCACCAGTGCCTAACCACCAAGTATTAGAAGGAACTTTAACAAGATTGGATTCAGAGCATACTGAAACTGAATGTATACTTTTATTTCCATCCAAGCTTTCCTCTTCAGGCATTCAGCCTTCTTGTGCCCAGGTTTGTTACAAAATAGCATTTCTGCACTTTCTGGACATCACCTTGCACCTTCATAGGATGCTTGACCTTTTTTTTTTTTTTTTTTTTTTTTTTTTTTTTTTTTTTTTAACTTGCTGCTATTACTACTGACATCAGAACTGTCACCATTATAACGTGATACAATAGTGTTCACTGCAAACATTTATCTCACATATCAATTGCTTTGAGTAACAACCTTTATTCAGACTATAATTTATAGACCTTAAGTTTGCATTTAAATCCGCCTTTGGGTCAAATTTAAATACAATGTCAATTTACCGACATGCATCATTCACACATACTTGAATGAGACTATTCATCAAGTTTCAATTTAATATATAGGCCATCTTTGGACATGCACTACATATTAGCAAAACAAGAATCATAATCTCCTAAACTGTCATTAATCACATGTCTGATCTACCTTTGGGCAACCGCTATAACCATGTGTTAATGATCACAAATGTTTATCAATCCTTTAGTGTCATTCAATGATGCAAAATACCTGTGTAGGTAAACATTTGTAAATATAAATAATTATTTAGCTATTTCCTTGAGTGGGCCACTTTAGTGACTAACGCACTCGCCTTATGCTAATAATTTATTTATGTGAATAAACCTTAATTTATGTTGTAACATAAACATAAATGATTATTTAGCTATTACCATGAGTGGGCCGCTTTGGCGACTAACACACTCGCCTTATGCTAGTAACTCATTTATGTAAGTAAACCTTAATTTATATATATGCTGTAAACATAAACATTAATGATTATTAGCTATTACCTTGAGTGGGCCGCTTTGGCGACTAACGCACTCGCTTTATGCTTATAATTCATTTATAAACATATATATAAATTAATGAGTCTAGAATTTAAAGCAAATCCATAATACTTTAAATAACCCAAATAGACTCAAATATAAACACAAATTAAATGAGCCTAAAATTTAAAGTGACTCCATAATACTTTAAATAAACCCAAATAGACTCAATTTAATTGTCCAAACAAAATAAACATTAATTTATGTCGTTCTCTTATAACATATAATTCATGATTTGATAGAGACAAACCATATAACATATGAATCATATACAGTACGAACACAGTACAACAAACATGATTCCATATGATTCAATTCCAAAACATATATATATACATGTATAACATATGTTGGTTCCATTGAAAACAGTACGCACATATAGAAACATGCGAATCAAACTATACAAATCACTTTAATATATAGCTGAACATCGTATACATATAACATATATGCTTGTTTTTTTTTTTTTTCAAACAATAGTACGTATATTTGATTCAAAAAACAAATATATATCATAGTATATATATACTGAATAGTATGTTTATTCACATAGCAATTGTACAGCGACAATAACAGTAATTATGTCAATGCCAAAAGAAGACAAAATCAAACAGTACGTATAACCAGGCAACATATTTGAATCCAAGAAATTCAATTTCTATATGCAAATCAATTTCATATATATGTTTGTTGTGTGCATATGACGGTACTGGATGTATATGCGACGTGATATGAACATATTGTACGAAATCAATGAAACCTTATAATTTCGTACAATTGATCCATTCAACCAACAAATCCATAATTAATTAAAAAAAAATCCCCAAATGTCATGAACCCTAATTTAGTGATTAATCAATTTATAAGCAGGCTCTGATACCAAATGTTAAATTAATCTTTTATGCGCTATAACTTGAATGCGGAAGCACAATTAACAATGATCGCATGTAAATCAAATCAATCAACTAAACAATGTTCATGATCATGGACTTTTAATTGAATAGGAAAGATAGGACTTACTTGGTTCCATTGAAGATGTAATCTCTAAATTGAGTGAATCAAGAATATAATGCTTCACCTCTCTGATCCGTATACCTTATTCACCTCCTGATGATACGGAGACTAGAAGACTTAGAGATTTGAAACCGTTAAGATCCCTAGAGTTTCTTGGGTATTTATAGATGTGATGAGAAACCCTCTTTCAAGAGGAATGGGGAACCTCCTTTAGGAATAGAAATCCCTTTAGGAATGTGACCTCCTTTAGGAATAGAAATCCCTTTAGGATTGTGAAACCCATAACCTTATCCATTATACATCTTTTAACCCTTATAAACTTAAATTTTAACAGAATGAGAGGGAGGGAATTTCACCCAGTAATTTCGCCTTTACACATCACTAATCATCAACGTGAGTACCTTATGGAATTACAACCTTTATTATATAAATCATTGTTAGGAAATAATTATTTCTAACATGTCTCTGCACTTCTTCATGTGTCACTACACATTCAAAGAGCAATTCAACAAAGCAGGGTTATTATTTCACAGATCAATGACACGTTTATACATTCTGGGTCGCGATATTGCTCCTATTTTTTTTTTTTTTTGGTAGAGACGATATTGCTCCTATAAACACCACTTCTGCTATCAAAGTTAGGTTGGTACGTTCCTATGAAGTGCCTGAAAGAAGAGGAGCAGCCAACATCAAGTGCCAATAGTGCATCTTTCATGATAAGGAGGTAATCGTGTTTGCTACTGTTTTTATACAGTTTACAGTATGTATCTAATTTATATAAATTATATAAATTAGACAGGGCACTGTCCTTCATGCAAACATTCCAAAAGAGTTTGTAGAGAAATATTCTGCTATGCTAAAAATAGGTCAAGTGTATTCAATAAGAAATTTCCTGGTAATTAGTAACTTCTACACATACAAGACCAGTCCACACAAATACATGTTGAAGTTCTACTACAAGACAGTTGTGAGAGAGCTAAAGGACACTGTTTTCCCCAGCCATATGTTTCGATTGCAGCCTTTGTCATATTTGAAACAGAAAATGGATATCAATGAAAAAGAACTATTGGTAAGTTTTAAACAACTCTAAATGTTTCCACTGTACTATTTTTCTTCATATTTTTTAGATTTGATTGGCATGGTGGTTGAGATAAATACCCTCCAAGAGAAGGTCGTCGCTGGGAAGGCTACCAGGCTCATTGATTTCCTATTGGAGGATACAGAGTAAGCTATTAATATCTTAATATAATTGCATTGAAGCAAAACTGATCTCATAAAAACTTAACCAATCCTGTTTCTTTGATTAAGGGTACTCAAATTAAATGCACAGTTTGGGATGATCATGTCTCCAAACTGGAGCCATTTTACCAGTCAACAAAATAAGACCCTCTTATAATTCTGTTACAGTTTTGTAGAGTCAAAGTTGACCTGAACAGTAAGATCTAAAATTCCTGAAATCAGTCTTTGGTTTAACTAATATTTAATATTACATACTATACCAGGATTATGTGGTCTAATGGTGCCCGGGTTGGACTGATGAACGTGATATGATATATGTGCAAAAAATTAATAACATTAGCTCATCTTAACTTTGTAGTATGGTAACTTTTGGGTTGCGGCTAAAATCGTAGGCATTAAGAGTTCATGGGATTGGTTTTATGTTTCTTGCAAATCACATGGCTGTAATAAGAAGTTGACTCTTCGTAACACAATGTATGACTATGATAAATGTAAGAGGACTTGGCAAGATGGTATTCTCAGGTACAAGGTTAAAATTAGAGTTGTTGACCTGGATGGAAATGCACCATTCATACTCTGGGACAAGGAGTGTACTGAATTACTTGGTATTTTTGCAACAGATCTTAGGAAAAAGATTTTGGAGGTAAACTTTAGGCTTATAGATAAACATTGCTGCCATATGTTAAATAATTCTACTTACACAACTGTTTTAAAATATGTAGGGACCCCTTAGAGTCCCCAGGGAAATAGAGTCTTTAGTGGGAATTGCAATGCTTTTCAGAATTGCGGCTAGAAATGAGCAATTCGACAATCTCCACAATGCCTTTGCAGTCATGAAGGTTATAAATGACCCTAAATTGGTGAGTATCTACTGTCCAGAGTTGTTGGATAAACCAGATAAAGACCTCACCTCTGAAGTGCATTCACTGGATTATGAATTTTCTGAAGAGGTAATCCTATTAATTTTAAAAGTATAGTGTGATGGAACATGAGTGATTAGAGTTGGAAAACCCAACACAAACTAGGTCATACGAACAACAGCTCTTGCGATTTATATAAGATCGCATGCAAGCTGTTGGAGATGGAGTAGTATGATAGGTAAAATGGTAGAGTCCGCGAGCTATTAAACAGAAAGCGCAGACAAATCTGACCAACCGCGATTTACATAAGATCGCATGCAAGCTATGAAGTGAACCTTCTGGAAATAGCTAAGTGGGTCACGGCAAAGCAACACCTCTTCATAGCAAATCTGACCAATTAAAATTGTGGATAATTAGTAATAATATACTATCATTACTATGGTCCAAAAGGGCATTAATAGACTAATAGTATTATTAATAGCATTTTCCATGCTAATTTTATGGACATAGATTGAAAAATAATATTTTCATTCACACCAATAGTATTTTAATATGAGAATATTATGATTTAATTTGAATAAGTGTAATCTATATTCAAGAATCATTCTAATGTAAAAACATTGTTGAACTATAACAATTTAGTAAATAAATGAAATTAAGACTGTGGAAGTAAAAATTCTCACCGAGAACAGCTCGGGCCAGATGATATTAATACCGTGTGTTGTCAATGACTCAATCAGATCCAAGATTGCCATTAAAATTTCATAAAAGACAATTCCCTCTGTTGCTTTTGTACGTAATGACTATAAACAAAAGTTAGGGTAGACATTAGCTCATGTAGGACTGCTTTTAAATAAATGTACATGGTCAACTGTATGTTGCCGGATCCAGAGTTAGCAATCCTAAGGGTTTAAGAATTTTGATTGCCAACGAAGTTAAACCGAGTGGTATTTCAACTACCAATGTTCTGTATCACGAAGTGTTTAATAATTTGTAATTTTAAATCCATTAACTTTAAGTTTTGTCATTTCTTTTTGGTCTAATAACTTGCGTGGAAGTCGTTCGTCTCAAACAACTTGCACATTTTTTAACTTTACATAAAACAATTTCATACGCATAAACAATCAATATCTTTACATATTATTCTAAATGTTTATATACAAATAACTATATTAAACATTATTTTTTTTTAAAAAAAAAAATTATAATAAAGGGTTGCGTGCATCTGGAATTCCAAACCATGTAAAAAAAAAAAAACTATATTAACCGGTGATACTGTTTGTAAGTCGGACTCAGCTAGCGGTATTTTAGGAGAAGTCCACACTCTAGAGTTTCTTAATGAGTTGCGTGCATATGGAATTCCAAACCGTGTATTAACATTAAAAGTTGGATCACCGGTAATGTTGTTGCGCAATATAGATCACTCATTGGGTTTATGTAATGGTACGGGATTGGTCATTACATGATTGTCCGAGCATGTTATTGAAGCTAAAATAATGACGGGTGACAATGCCAGGAGTTCAGTGTTGATACCAATAATGTCTATGGCTCCATCGGATACAAGATTGTCTTTCAAATTTCAAAGGAGATAGTTCCCATTAATGTTGTCATATACAATGAAAATAAATAAAAGTCAAGATCAGACACTATCTTATGTTAGGTTTCTCTTAAAGAAACCAATGTTTGTACATGTCCAATTGTATGTTGCTGCATCTAAGGTTAGCAATCCTAAGGGTCTAAAGATTCTAATTTGTAATGAGCTTAACAAGAGTTGTACTTCAACAACTAAAGTTTTGTACCATGAAATTTTAATTAATCTGTAAATAAATTACAAATTGGAATTCAATCATTTCTTATGTGTCAATCGCAATATACTTAAAAAAGTGTTTAACATGTAATATATGTATTTTACATCCTAACATCTTGCACAATCATTTAGTTTAAAACAATAACATCTAAAATTAAAATATAATTTATTGACAGCATCGGGTACCATATATAGGATTATTTTCAAATACAAACACCCCTTAAAATACAAACCCCCTTAGAATACAAATTGGGTGCATGTAGTGTGCATGTAAGTATATTAATGTGTGCATGAGCTTTGATGGATGGTTGTGATTTTTTCCTCCTACGCGTTGTGTGCATGTAAGTATGTTAATGTGTGCACGAGCTTTGATGGATGGTTGTGATTTTTCCTCCTACGTGCTGTGTGCATGTAAGTATGTTAATGTGTGCACGAGCTAATCCCAGAAGGGAAAAGGTACAAATAGGCCATTGAACTATTTGGGGGTTAGCAATTAAGCCATCGAACTCGAATAAGCTCCAAATTGATCCATGAACCTGCAAAAAAGTGCTATTAACATTTTTAATAGGTTAACAACAAGTTACTGCTGACTAGGATGCCCTGTGTAATTTTTTTTTAATTATCCTAATCAGCATTTGACCAAAAAAAAAAAAAAAAAAAAACCTAAGCATTTGACCCTCAACTATAGCTTCTCTATTTTGCGCTTTATCTCTTTCGCGGTTGTTTGCGACATTTTTTATTTTCTCTCTTTCGCAATTGTTTGCGGCATTTTTGAATTAAAAAAATACATTTAAATTTCAATATTTAAGAAATTACACGCATAATATAATACAAAATTTGTCTATTCACTAACTAGTAAAAATATAATCTTAATATAAATTTGCATTGCTAAGTAGAAATTAATATATTGTTAATATAGTTTGCATGCCATACAAAAATACATTGTTAATTGCAACACTACAACATTTGATAAGCATAAATATATTGTTAATCTAGTACTGCCAAAACATTAACCCAAAACAACTCTTCTGCCAAAACATTAACCCAAAACACCTCCAACATAATCACACTTTGCTCTAGTATGCCCTTCTTGTCTACAAATGGAACATCTCATTATGCGACCCTTCCTACTTAGTTGAGTCTTCTTACTAGCAGTTGATGAACCTTCATTTTCCTCACGATTTCTTTTCTTCTTTGGCCTACCTGTCATTTTTTTTTGGGATTGGAGCCAAAATTTCCTCACAATTTGTTTTAGGCCAAGAAGAGTTCTCCATTCATCGGTAAAAGAGCACGTGCATAAGTCCTTTGATATGCTTCTTTTGAGTAGCATGGATCAAGATAATCTTCCATATTCCTGCCATTGTCGAAGATGGCACATATAGCATGAGGGCAAGGTAGACCTGTCAAATCCCATGATCTACACGAGCATGTCGTATTTTCAAGCTTGACTTTGAAATGATTTCATCATTTCTTAATCTCATATCTATCATCTCCGTTAAAATCAACCTAGCAACAAAATTTACCACTCAAATTTAAACCCCAACAAATGTAATGTTATATTATTAAAAAAATAAATTGTATAAACAATGTACCTTCCATCCAATGCTTTCTTTCTTATTTGCAATTAGTTTCTTCATAATAAGTGGTCCATATCTACCTTTCCAAGTGTCTACGAACTTCATTTTTTTGGTTATCCTTCTCATAGCAAGCACTCGAATGTCTTCAAGCATGGGAATTATTGGCTTGCATCTTTCTTTAAGCAAAGTCCCATTGAATGCTTCGCATATATTGTTATCAACAATGTCACATTTACTTGTTGTTCTAAAAAAAGCCTTGCACCAAAACTTAGGTAGATACCGTTCTAGGTCAGATTTAGCCTCTTTGTCTCTCATTTCTAAGGCTTTTAGTTGTTCATGAAATTGAACTTCTGTTGTTGACTTGGCGCACATCCAAAAGTGATTCTTCATAACCTTTCATTTGTGGCGCTTACTCCAATTTGCATGCACATGCCTTGCACAATTTCGGTGCTCTGAATCCGGAAATAACTCTTGGATAACAGTTGTTAAACCCTGAAATTAAAATTATATAGATAATGATGCAGTAAGAAAGACACTAGTCACTGTATATGGAGCAAATATACATTGGTCATTGTAATGTAGATACTGTTAGTGATTGTAATTAAAACAAGCTAGTCAATGTAATTAAGATACTACTAATTAAGACTGCAACAAGAGCAACATAAAATAAGAACATGATAAAATAAAATTAAGATTAAAAAAACAAGAGCAAGATAGCCTCTTTTCACACCATAAATAGCAAAAAGAACTACTAATACATTTAAGCAAAATGACATCACTAAATACATTTAAGAGTGCATACCTTCTGGTGGTCACTGATTATTGTCCAAGGGTAAGTGTTGGTGATTCCCAAATCATTTTTCAGCAACTTTAAAAACCATCCCCATGAATCCGTGTTCTCAATCTCCACCACATCCCATGCAATAGGGTACATCTGATTGTTTGCATCTCTTCCTACTGCAGTTAATATTTCTCCCTTTAGCAACCCTTTGAGAAAACACCCATACAATCCAATAATCTTTCTACATCCATCTAAGAAACCCCTTCTCAATGCATCAAAACATACATAAATTCTTTGGAACACACAAGGACTGTTAGGTGTGACCCTACTGGTTTTTAGTATTACTTTGCTTCCTGGGTTAGAGTTCATACACTCTTGTGCATAGTCCCTTATTCTCCTAAACTGATCCTCAAAGCTTGCATTAATTTTTTTGAGCACAGACCTAATCGCTCTTCTCACTTTGCTAATACTTAAATTTATTTTCAATTCTGACTCAATGTGATTTTTCAACTCTATAGGTCCAATGCAAGGATTATCTCTAATTTTTCTTCATATTTATCTTCTATCCAGTTTTGACTCACCAAACACAAGCTGAACTTTTGATTGCAATTATGGTCGGCCTCAAGAGTCTTTAATTGAAAACACCTGTATTTCTCCTCCCATGAAGCAGTGCAATGAAATGGGCAGCCTTTACCATCAATACTCTCAATGCCACCACATTTAAACATCACTCTCATACTCTCATTTTTATAATAACATATGTCCCTCTTAAAATGCACTACATAATTAATCATTGCTTTCTTAAACTCTGTTGCATCTTCATAAAACATGCCCAACTCTAACTCGGGAAATTCAACACTTGGATTGTAAGATGGAAATTTACATTTGACCTTGGCTTTACTTGATTGTTCCGGTTGTAGTTGAGCTTCATCATCTTCCATCTCAAATTGGTAACTAGGTGGATTATCTGACTCATAATAAACACTATCTACTTCATTATCCTCAATAGTGTTTTCTTGAACTGTATATTTCTTTTTTCTACTTGTGCATGTGTTGCTCCTGATTTCAATTCTGCACCATGATTTCTTTTTTCTGCTTCTTCATCATCCTTATTACATTCATCATGTTCATCATCATTATTCTCTTCACCATCATCCTCATTACCTTCATTTCTTTCTTCAAGATCAACACTTGGATTACCTTCATTTTGTTCTTCAACACCATGCTCAACATATATATCCACCTTCTTATATCTACGTGCTAGCGTCATCAACTCCATCGTGTGGGTGTCATTAAAGAATGGCCTAAGCTTCTCCATCGCCTCCATACTTAACTTGTAAGCTAGACTTTCGACCTTACCATATCTCTCATGTGCTATGGACTTCATCAAGTGAGGTACACAAATAAGATCGGCGTCAGTTGTTACTTCATCAACTTCCCCATTTATATATCGTAGTCTTGGATCTTGCACAAAACTACCCCCATAATGAATTCTCAAATCTACTATGTCATACATTCTGAAAATTGTAAAATGGAATACATAAAATTGCAGGGATTATGCATCAACCCAGAATGAAATATTTTAAACCATAAAAGCAGAGTGTTCCAAACTGCCCAGAATGGAATGCATTATAACTGCTCATTATAATTTTAGGGGTGAAATTAATGACTAACAAAATTCGTGAAACAAATATTCTAATAAAATTGACTTTATCAAATGCAATAAGAACACCTGCACCAGCATCCAATTTATCATAAAAACATGAGATTCAAAATCTCAACTTTCCACTCCAAATAGAACTGTGTCAATTGTTACACAACAAAAGCAAAACCAGGCCCTCAGTTTCATGAATACCAGAACCTGCATTTCTCTGGACACAAAACAATAACACAGACACAATCTTCTCAACATGTCATATTTTTCACTACTAATAAGCATAACAAGAAATTAAACAGCAGTAACATGTAGTATGTAGTATGTTTTTATCAGAACCATAGAATCTACCTGCAAAAGATAGATGAAGCTTCCAAGCTATATTGCAGCTCATCATCCCCCAAAGATCCCAAGTTCAATTACAGTACAAGATTTCTTTATTTTCACTAAAACTATTACACAAAGCCAAATCTCATCATCTTGATTCCATTTACAAAATTCAAAAACCAAAATGAATTATAAGAAAAATTCAAAAAAAAAATACATGAAAATTTCCCGAACAGAGAATTACATAGAAAAAAAAAAAAGAAAAAAGAGAAGACCTGGAGGGTTATCGCTTTTCAAAATAGACCATTCTTCTACTTTGATGCTTGGACCCAAAAGAACAAGAATACAAGTGAGTAACAACAATACCTGTAATTATTCCCAAAAGCAGTGAAGGATAAAAATGAGTTGGTTATTCACTTGTAAGTGTTCAAAAATAACGCAAACAACAACAAAAGATAGAAAAACAGCAAAATAGAGAAGAAAT